ATTTTAATAGTGATATCCTCATGACTTTTTTGTCTTTTAATATATAGGGTACTTTACTGTACTACTTAATCATGACATCTTTCCTCGATACATTGTACACTGAAAATTATGTATATATATGAATGCATATAACATGTCTTTGCAGTCTAAACACAATTAAAATTTATACATTTGATTCTTAATACATATTATGTAAAACATATTAAGATAGAATATGAAGTCCTTTCATTGATACAATGGTTAAAATATACACAAAAAATACTAGAGATAAAATATTATAGCACTATGTAACCTACTGTGAATATTCACAAGCACGCGTTGACTTTAGACAGCCATTAACAACAAAACTTCTTTTTTATATATTTCCTATCAAAAGCGTTACAATAAACAATGTTAGAAATAAATAGTGTTCGTATGTTAACAACCCTTATTCAAACAATATTCGAGTTGGACTCTCCTATGTAAAATAACAATCCATTAAAAAATATTTAAATTCTTAAATATGTCTTCATAAATAAAAAGTATCTTGTTAATGTCCTCTTCATATTTAACTGGAAATTATATATATCGTGTTATGAATATGATAATTTAATTTTGTTCTTACGACTGTTAATGTTCTTTTTATCATACGATTGAAATATATTTACACCACTAGCTTAATTTGAATTGTTTTTTCGTTTCCGTTCCTCTTTCTTTAATCAAATATCAAAACCTAATTATGACTCTCATTTGAAGTTAAAGTTTTTTTATGATTAAAGTGTCATAGAAATATTTAAGTCCTTTTCTTCCAATTATTTTCCTGTCTATTTATTATTAGGTACTGTTGTTATTTTTAATTGGTTTAATACCATTTTTATAACAAAATCTTCTCTAGGAAAAAACAAAAGATGTTGGCGCCTCGAACTTCTTCAAAAACATACCACGAAGTAGACCGGTGAATGTTTTGTAACTCTCATTAACAACATTCACTGCATCTGCCTCGATCATGATTTCTGTAAAGTAACATATAGAACATTTAATTGTTATAACTGTTAAAACTGAAATATAAAATATGTAATTAAGTAAATCATTAACTCTCTCACACATGTTTGATGAGTTTTCTATTAAAGTTAAATTCAAGTATCACTTAAGCGTTATTTTAATCTGAAAAACATAATTATAGTAATACTAGCTACGCCCCGCGGTGTTACCCGCAGATTTCCGGAATGTAAAGTAGCCTATGTGTTATTCCTGGACGTCAGCTTCCTGTATACAACATTTTATCAAAATCGGTTCTGCCGTTTGAGCGTGAAGAAGTAACAAACATACACACACACTCACAAACTTTCGCAATTATAATATTAGTAGGATAACAACTGGTACTACGACATCACTACAAAAATACGAAGTTTGATAAAACGAGATGCAGCCCCAATTTACTGAAACACTATATTTTACGCAATTCGTACTGAAGTAATACAGAACTCTTTCTTAATTATTTTTACGAATATTTGTAACATTATCATCATTAAAACCAATTTAATTGATAAATACTTTTATTGTAGTGTTTACTGTCATTAAAATTCCGGTATCTTAAAGATTTATACTAAAACAATAATCATTCAATGTACAATTTATATTTAGGAAATAACAAGTGCTTTTGTATTTATAATATTCTAAATACGTAGTTGTCTCAAGCTTGAAGGACTTACTTTATTAATGGATTATTCTGTTATAAACCTCTTAAGAGAGCGAAAGATTCCGTCCACTTCAAATATTCTTCATTTTGTTCCGACACCCCTTGCTGCACGTCACTTACTGTAAAATTATTAAAGTAAGTTAAGTATACGGATATTTTCAGGAATTTATATTAAATTCTTAACAGTTTGAAATAATTTTATATATTGATCCAATATTTTCATCGGGTTAATCAACTTTAGAAAAATTACGGAGAGCGATAACATTTCGTGTCAATGAACTCAGGCATTCATTATTTTATACATACATTTTGATATTGAACTATCTCTTGGTAAACAAAAAAATATCTTGCTATAAACCGAGCATTCAAAATGAGTACACAACTCATGAACTAACTTAAAACACACTGGAAATGAACCAAATAAAGTTAGAAACAAGTTTCAGAAAGGTTCGTTGAATTATATAAAAATTGTGATTCATTTTAATTTCTGAATTTTTTTTCATAGAACAAGATTATACATATATATATATGTATATATGTACTAGTTTGAGGAAGACGTTACATTATTTTCACGCTCTGGTAACTAGGACAATTTATCCTTTATAATACTTGAATGATAGCGATTTTTTTTAAATTAGCTTTTCTTAATTCATCGAGACTAAAACTGTGAACACCGAAATTAATTCTCTAAATAATATGAATGTACGTCCCAAAATTTAAGGATCATTCCTATTTAAATTCACATTCACTATTTTAAATTCTCTGCACGTCTGATGTCAAAATAAGAATAAATGCTTTTTAGTCAGATGAAATTAACTTCAGTGTGGACGTTGAGTACATGATGCTTTCCAAATAAATAAAATCTTTTATTATCACTATTGTTGTGAAGCTCACGTACGTTAGAACACCAACTGCTGCACTACGGACTACGGAGTGAAGATGATTATATAAAAGTGGAGATAATATTAACTACTTGGGACTTTATTTAAGCTATTGAGTACTTTAAACATTATTTGTTTTGTGATACTACTGATAATAAAATTGAAAAAATTAAAACAATTAAATAACCAGTTATCGTGTTATTGTCTTCTATCAATGTGTTTTCCTAACATCGGTCATAGTATATTAACTACCAGGTTCAAGTACATTGTCTGATGAAGACCTTAGCAACCTCAGCAATGTATACCACCAAACTTAACTGACAATAGTCTCTGTGTACTAAGGACTCAGTATAATATTTACTTGAATAAAACTATTGACGCAAATACTATTCTATTTGTAGTGTCACAGTCACAGAATTTGTATGCTGTTTTGATTGGAATGTTTTTTACTGTGTTTAGCACCTCTAATAACTAATGTGATGCCTAAATCTGAAATGTGCCTAAGAAATAAAATAAGTACAAATCCCAGAAATTGCAGGATCTACTTCCTGCATCACTTTTTTATGAATGGTTGGCTTCTTTCATCATTTTGTTAGAGATCCTGATTAGATTGATCAAGCGATACGCTACGACGTCCTTAATCACTTTGATTTTGAAGATTTATTGATATAAGAATTTTCTTAATTAAATTAAAATATAATGTGTATTTCAAAGAAGCGCTTTAACTGAAATAATAATAAAAACTACTTCATTGTCGTTCAAAGACATTAAAAAATATGTTTTCCGTAAGAGTAGATGAGGTTACTTAATCACACTTATTAAAAGTAATTTTTGGACATTTCGCATTAAAGAAACATTATAGCTGTTGTAAGTATTAATTTTCTTATGATTGGTTACAATTAATAAATCTTAATCTAATTACCAAAAGCACTGAAATACCTATATTTAGACGGATACAAAATGTCAACAATACCTTTTAATGAAACTGTTATCTACAATTAACGTGAAGATATTTGATCCCTCCAGCTACTATTCATCTTATAAACACAAACAAACAACCAAACTCTGCCCAGCCACTCAGTTACTGAAAAAGATAATTAATCATTATTTAATTATTCATTAATAACAAGTTATTATTTTGGTACCATATTATTTTTAATGAAATTTTAATATAATGCTTAATTAACTTTTCAAACAAATATCACAAGCTCAAACCGTAAAACCTTTAAAAAGGTTCAAATACTAAGACATATCAGAACATTATATTTCACGGATATGTTATAGTCAGTGGTGGTTAAGGGGCCCGCCCCTCGTTGCCGAGGGTTCAAACCTGGCAAGTACCAATGTGATTTTTCGGAGTCATATGTACTTTCTGAGAATATTTAGACACCACTGACATACGGTGAAGGAAAACATCGTGAGGAAACCTTGACTTATAGTTTCATAATTATAAGTTTGAAATCACCAACCCGTCTTGAGCAAGCGTGGTGATTAATGCTCAAACCTTCTCCATGTGAGAAAGAGGCCTTGCTCAGCAGTGGGCTCTGATAGGCTGATTACGATGACGATGTATTATAAATTAGAGACGACTTTCTTTTTCATATATTAAAGGACCTTTTAGTGATTATTTAATTATTTATTAAAAACAAATCAGAATATCGGTACTGATATATTTAAAAATCTTTTTATACAATATTTGAATACGTTTAAACGTCGCCCATAAAAAGCGTATTTGCATATTTTTTTTCAGCCGACATCGTTTGTTACAGAACAAGCTTTAATTTTTTATCTTCTCTTACCGAACCCATTTTATTTTAGTTGATTTATAATAAGTTGGGGTTGAATATGAAATTCATTCTCTTCATTACGGATCGTGGTAGAAATTTGATACAAGGAGATGACTCAATTATATCTTCTATATATATAAAAATGGATTGCTGTTCCTTAGTCTCGCTAAAACTCGAGAACGGCTGAACCGATTTGGCTAATTTTAGTCTTGAAATACTCCTGGAAGTCCAGGGAAGGTTTAAAAGGTGAGAAAAATTGATTCATTACTGGGAAAACCATAAAAACAGCCCTTTTCTATTTCCCATACAAAAGTTTTTTTTTACATTAGATTTGACAACTAACAAATATGTCAATTCTGTTTGATTGAAATAGGAAAAACCTGATTATTTATGGCCTCTAAGACGGAATAGAGTTCGCCTGGTCAGCTACACCTACATATATTACTCTTGACCAAACTAACGCGGACGAAGTCGCGGGCAAAAACTAGTATATTATAAAACCCTGAACAATACTCTAAAGTTCAACAAAAAAAAAATTCTCACCATATTTTTTAATATTGAGTCAGCACCAGATTCGTTGCATATAATTGATCATCCTGATAATTTTCTTCATCAATACTTGTACTTATACCTTCGAGTCCGTTAATCATCATTTCAAAAATCATCATCAAAGACTCCTTCTTCATGAACTCTTTCTAGGCTATTTGGTGTTTCGCTTGTATTGTTACTATTTCTGTCCGTTCTGTTAACCTGGAAACACATATTAAGACACTTAAACATATTTTTATTTCTTTTATTGTTAACTTGCCATTATATTATATTTCTATACGTTATTGTACATGTTGCAAACAATTTCAGACCTCATATGTATATAAAATGAAGTCGAAAGCAGAAGAAAAAGTTAAACATTATCTTCACGACAGCCTATAATTTTAATATCTAAAGAGAATTTTGATGAAATTGTTTAAAAAAATACTTATGGCTTTTTAGTTTTTGTGTTTGTGACACAAGTTAAAAAGTCGTAATTAACATGTATTGAGACTTAAAGTTTGTAATATTTACAGTAATAAAGCTATTTTGAAAAATCGTTCAGCACGTCTTAGATATTGCAATAATTTTATAGAAATGTCCAAAATTCCTATTCATTAAAATACTTTTCTAAATCGCATGTGTATTTTAAGAAAGTTCAAGTTCAAAACCATTTAATTGACGTTCAATTCTGAAAACTAAAAAAATAAAGATCATTCAGAAATCCAAACTTAGAAATTTACCACAGTTTTGGAGCTATCAAAATGAATCTTTTTATAATAGAACTTTAAAGAATATCAATCAATAACTTCTGTGAATTTTCTATCGTGTAAATAATATTGACAGTGTAACTAAATACTCGTGCTATCATGTAATGTTAGAAAAACTGTAAATTGGATTTTATATAATTAGTTCTAATGAAATGGAAGGCTGACCAATTCTATCACTATTTATTTAAAAATAGTCAATACACTCAAACTTTAGCATCTTTTTGACTGTAAATAAGTAATATTTAAACTCTATAATTCATTGATAGTGTTCAGCTCATAGCTTTGTTAATTCTTTGAACGTCTGTACTATAATAAATATCAGCTGACCTCCTTATATGTGGTAATCGTCGGAACACATCAGTAGGTCACTATGAACATCCCATTTCGTCGTTTACTGTCAAAATCGAGTATTTGACAATTTCTTCTCCAGTCGTCACTTCTTCATATCAAATAGTATGACGGCCGGTCATCATGTATGTTAATGTGAACATATTTACTGTGTATTACGTACATATGTAGCGGTCAAGATGTCTTGTGATCCACGAGGTGAATGTTTCTTCTCAGTGTTCTTGAAGACGGTTTTATTTTAATGGTGGTTTTTCATGACAGGCTCATTCGGATTTTATTCGCGTTATTAAATTACCTGAAAGACGTAAGACATATTTAAAACAATTATATTATTAGTGAGGTATTTTTTTATATTTAAAATAACAAATTTAGCAACTAAACCGTCACCATTTGGTCAATTGGCCACTAATTTTCATCTAGGATAGTGTGTATATAATGTATTCAGGGAACTCCTAAATTTATCTTACAGTTCTGTCTTATAATATAATTTTGTTGGTTTTAACTTACTAATTTAAATATAACTAATTATACATAAAGAACCACAAATCATTTATGCTTAATAAATTTACCAAATAGATATACGTAAATATTTCAGATCAATAAGATCAAGCACTGCTACACTATGTATAGCTATAAATATTATATTATATCTTATACACATGTGAACTTAATTACCATTAAGTATAAAATAAAAGGCGTTAGTAATACAACCTCTTCCTTTTTTGAAGGCAGTTTAAAATAGGGACAATCTCTTCAATTTTGCTATTGTATGAACATGTGTATGAAAGACCGACACTATTTAATATGGTATACGAAATATAATTCACTAGCTCATAATGTATTTCTGTAATATAAACAGTGCTAATAGTTATAATAACACACGTCATCACTAAATTATACAATTATTGATAAGTTCATTCAGTAATAATTTAAATATGAATCACGACTCCATATATTAATTAGTATTATTTTAGATTTTATATTATTATTTTAGTATTACATGTGTTCTATTAAACTTAAATTCAAGTATCACCTAAGCGTTATTTTAATCTGAAAAACATAATTATAGTAATATTACAACTGGTATAACGACATCACTACAAAAATACGAAGTTTGATATGAAGTTCCTGTTTGTATGTAAGGATTCCCTATAAACAGTATGATTCCGAATGTTATCAGGATTCCTAATAACAAGAATATCAAGAAAACCTTAAGATTTATTAGCCTCCTAGTCTACAGTAAATTGAGTCTTAAGATAAATAAAGTTACATTGATAATCACAAGCAGATTTCATATTTAAAGTGAATAATGTAAAGATTGTATTTACTAAAAGGTTCTCTAGAAAAACTCAAATATATTGGCGTCATGAAATTCTTCAAAAACATACTACGAAGTAGACCGGTGAATGTTTTGTAACTCTCATTAACAACTTGCACTTCAACTGCCTCGATCATGATTTCTGTAAAGTAACGATGGAACATTTAATTGTTATAACTGAAATATAAAATATAGAATTATGTAAATCATTAACTCTCTCACACATGTTTGTGAAGTTTAAACTGATCGTGTCAGCAATTTTAGTATTACATGTTTTCTATTAAACTTAAATTCAAGTATCAATATAATTTAAGTAATACTAGCTGCACCCCGCGACTTCGTCCGAGTGAATTTCGGCATTAGTAATATATGAAAGAAAGCCACCAAATGGGTTATGGGGCAATACCCAACAACTACAAAACAACAGAAATGTTATAAAAATTAAGAAATACGTTAACATGAATAGTTTGGCAGTATTTAACAAATTAACTACGGAAAGAAACTGTTGTCTGTGATATTGTCTATCATAACTCTTCTTTTTAACGAAAGGAATGCTTATTGGCTGTCGATCGTGCCTACATAGACCAGTAAAGGTACATAGGGATAATGTCGTTTTGGCTAGGTGTTGAGTTTTTGAGTAAGTAAATACGGTTTTCCGCTTATATGAGAAAAAGTCGAACATTTTCCGGGATGTAAAGTAGCCTATTTGTCATTCCTGGACGTCAGCTTCCTGTATTCATAATTTTATCAAAATCGGTTCAGCCGGTTGAGCGTGAAGAAGTAACAAACATACACACACTCACAAACTTTCGCAATTATAATATTAGTTAGATTACAACTGGTATTACAAAATTAATACAAAATTACGAAGTTTGATAAAACGAGATTGCTCCAATTTACTGAAACACTATGTTTTACGCAATTCGTACTGTAGTAACACTGAACTCTTTCTTAATTATTTTTACGAATATTTTTAACATTATCTTCATTAAAACCAATTTAATTGGTAAATACTTATGTGAAGTGTTTACTGACTGTCAATAAATTTCCGGTATCTTAAAAATTTATACTAAAATAATAATCATTAAATTTACAATTGATATTTAAGAAGTAGCAAGTGCTTTTGTATTTATAATATTCTAAATACGTAGATGTCTCAAGCTTGAAGGACTTACTTTATTAATGTATTATTCTGTTATAAACCTCTTAAGAGAGCGAAAGATTCCGTTCACTTCAAATATTCTTCATTTTGTTCCGACACCCCTAGCTGCACCTCACTTACTGTAAAATTATTAAAATAAGTTTTGTATACGGATATTTTCAGGAATTTATATAAAATTCTTAAGAGTTTTTAATAATTTTCTATATAGATCCAATTTTTTCATCGGATTAATCAACTTAGAGAAATTACAGAGAATAATTAACGATAATATTTCATATCAATGAACTGAGACATATCAAAGAACTGTCTCTTGGTAAACAAAAAAATATCTAGATATAAAACGAACATTCAAAATGAGTACACAACTCATGAACTAACTTAAAACACACAGGAAATGAACCAAATAAAGTTCGAAACAAGTTTCAGAACGGTTCGTTGAATTATACAAAAATTATAATTCATTTTAATTTCTGTAATTTTTTTATAGAACAAGATTATTGATATATATATTTGTACTAGTTTTGAGAAGACGTTACATTATTTTCATACTGTGGTAACTAGGACAACTTATCCTTTATGATACTTAAATGATAGCGTATGCTTTAATACTTTTATATTTTCCTCTCAAAAGGCTGATTAAAAATAAATAAACAAGACCATATTTTTTTATAATTAGTTTTTTTTTTCATTAATCGAGACTAAAATGGTTTAAACCGAAATTAATTCTCTAAATAATATGAATGTTCGTCCCCAATTTTTAAGGATCATTCCTATTTAAATTCACATTCACTATTTTAAATTCTCTGCACGTCTGATGTCAAAATAAGAATAAATGCTTTTTAGTCAGTTAAAATTAACTTCACTTTGGACGTTGAGTACATAATGCTTTCCAAATAAATAAAATCTTTTATTAGCACTATTGTTGTGAAGCTCACGTACGTTAGAACACCAACTGCTGCACTACGGACTACGGAGTGAAGATCATTATATAAAAGTGCTGATAATATTAACTACTTGGGACTTTATTTGAGCTATTGAGTACTTTAAACATTCTTTGTTTTGTGATACCGCCTATAATAAAATTTAAAAAAATTAAAATAATTAAATAACCAATTGATTTTTTAAATAAACTGTTACAGTTATCGTGTTATTATCTTCTATCAATGAGTTTTCATAACATCGGTCATAGTACATATATTAACTACCAGGTCCAAGTACATTGTCTGATGAAGAATTTAGCAACCTCAGTAATGTATACCACCAAACTTAACTGACAATAGTCTCTGTGTACAAAGAACTTAGTATATTATTTACTATACTTGAATAATAATATTGACGCGAATACTATTCTAGTTGTAGTGTCACAGTCACATGATTGGTATGCTGTTTTGATAGGAATGTTTTTTACTGTGTTTAGCGCCTCTAATGACTAATATGATGACTAAATATGAAAGCTTGTGTAGGGCCGCGTGACAGATATCTGATATGTGCCTAAGAAATAAAATAAGTACAAATCCCAGAAATTACACGATCTACTTTTTGCATCACATTTTTATGAATGGTTGTCTTTCATACTTTTGTTAGAGATCTTGATTAGATTGATCAAGCGATATGCTACCCCGTCCTTAATCACTTTGATTTTGAACATTTATTGATATAAGAATTTTCTTAATTAAATTAAAAAATAATGTGTATTTCAAAGAAGCGCTTTAACTGAAAGAATAATAAAAACTACTTCATTCCTGTTCAAAGACGTTAAAAATATGTTTTCCGTAGGAGTAGATGGGGTTACTTAATCACACTTATTAAAAGTTATTTTTGGACACTTCGTATTAAAGAAACAATATACATAGTTATAAGTATTCATTTTCTTGTTTGGTTATAATTAATAAATCTTAATCTAATTACCAAAAGCACTGAAATACATTTAGACGGATACAAAATGTCAACAATACCTTTTAATGAAACTGTTATCTACAATTAACTTGAAGATATTTGATCCCTCCAGCTACTATTCATCTTATAAACACAAACAAACAACCAAACTCTGCCCAGCCACTCAGTTACTGAAAAAGATAATTAATCATTATTTAATTATTCATTAATAACAATTTATTATTTTGGTACTATATATTTTTTAACAATATTTTAATATAATGCTTAATTAACTCTTCGAACAAACATCACAAGCTTAAATGATTCAAACCGTAATACATTTAAGGTTCAAATACTAATACATATCAGAACATTATATTTCACCGAGACATTACAAATTAAAGTTGATTTTCTTTTCCATAATAGTAGGAAATATTAATTTTCAGTAATGAATTAATTATTATTTATTAAAAACAAATCAGAATATCGGTATTGATATATTTAAAAATCTTTTTTTCCAATATTTGAGTACGTTAAAACGTCGCCCATAAAAAGCGTATTTGCATATTTTTTTTCAGCCGACATCGTTTGTTACAGAACAAGCTTTAATTATTTATCTGCTCTTACCAAACCCATTTTATTTTAGTTGATTTATAATAAGTTGGGGTTGAATATGAAATTATTTCTATTCATTACGTATTGTGATAGAAATTTGATACCAGAAGATGATTAAATATATATATTATAAAACCCTGAACAATACTCTAAAGTTCAACAAAAAAACTTTTAATTTTCTCACCATGTTTTGTTTATATAGAGTCAGCACCAGATTCGTTGCATATAATTGATCATCCTGATTATTTGCTTCATCAATACTTGTACTTATACCTTCGAGTCCGTTAATCATCATATCAAAAATCATCATCAAAGCTCCTTCTTCGTGAACTCTTTCTAGGCTATTTGGTGATTCGGTTGTTACTACTTCTGTCCGTTCTGTTAACCTGGAAACACATATTAAGACACTTTAAACATATTTTTATTTCTTTTATTGTTAACTTGCCATTATATTATATTTCTATGTTATTGTACATGTTGCAAACAATTTCAGACCTCATATGTATATAAAAGTAAGTCGAAAGCAAAAGAAAAAGTTAAACATTATCTACACGACAGCCTGTAATTTTAATACCTAAAGAGAATTTTGATGAAATTGTTTAAAAAAATACTTATGGCTTTTTAGTTCTTGTCTTTGTGACACAAGTTAAAAAGTCGTAGTTGACATGTATTGTGACTTAAAGTTTGTTATATTTACAGTAATAAAGCTATTTTGAAAAATCGTTCAGCACGTCTTAGATATTGCAATAATTTTCTAGAAATGTCCAAAATTTCTATTCATTAAAATGCTTTTCTAAATCGCATGTGTATATTTAAGAGAGTTCAAGTTCAAAACCAATTAATTGACGTTCAATTCTGAAAACTAAAAAATTAAGATCATTCAGAAATCCAAACTTTGAAATTTACCACAGTCTTGGAGCTATCAAAATGAATCTTTTAATCATAGAACTTTAAAGAATATCAATCAATAACTTCTGTGAATTTTTTATCGCGAAAACAATATTGTCAGTGTAACTAAATACTCGTAATATCATGTAATGGTAGGAAATCTATAAATTGGATTTTAGATAATTAGTTCTAATGAAATGGAAGGGTGACCCATTCTATCACTATTTATTTAAAGATAGTCAATACACTTAAACTTTAGCACCTTTTGATCAAACATAATTAATATTTAACCTCTATAATTCATTGATAGTGTTCAGCACATATCTTTGTTAATTCTTTGAACGTCTGTATTATGATAAATATCAGCTGACCTCCTTGTATGTGGTAATCGTCGGAACACACCAGTAGGTCACTATGAACATCCCATTTCATCTTTTATTGTCAAAATCCTGTATTTGACAATTTCTTTTCCAGTCGTCACTTCTTCATATCAAATAGTATGACGGTCGGTCATCATGTATGTTAATGTGAACATATTTACTGTGTATTACGTACATATGTAGCGATCAACATGTCTTGTGATCCACGAGGTGTGTGTTTCTCCTCAGTGCTCTTGAAGATGATTTTCTTTCATAGTCATTTTTCATGACAGGCTCATTCGGATTTTATTTTCGTTATTTAATTACCTGAAAGATATAAGACATATTCTAAACGATTATATTACTAGTGAGTTCAATTGTCCACTAATTTTCATCTAGGATAGTGTGTATATAATTAATTACTGGAACACCTAAATACAATATCTTATAGTTCTGTCTTTAATATTATTTGAATAATTTTAACCTACAAATTGAAATATAAAAATTAGACCTCAAGAAAAACAAATCTTTTATGCTTAGTAAATTTACCAAATATTGCAAATATACTGTTAGAAATATTTGGGCAGCACTTCCACTTAAATGCTTACTTCTCCACAACTTGTAACAGAATCCCCAGTCTAACACTTGTATCGTATGTATAATATCCAAAAGTAAAAGTAAGTAATTTAGATGAGGGTGGGTTATAATATTGGGCGCTAGTTCCCCTCATACGAGTTTCCGTTAAATAATAAAACACTTAACATTGTGCAAAACATGCTATAAATTATAAAACCAATTGTTAGGTATTTGGGCATTTAAATTACTGTACAGCAATATTATTAACATTAATTGACACTATTAAACCGAATATACAGATGGCGCTAGTTGACTATCACAAGTATTCCCAATAATTTTTTTTTTTTTTTTTTTTTTTTTTATGGCCCAAAGGGGCAAGCGAGCGGACGGCCCACCTGATGGTAAGTGGTTACCGTCGCCCATGGACATCTGCAACACAAGGGGTGTTGTAGATGCGTTGCCGGCCTTGTTTGGAAAGGAGCCACCTGAACACGTGATGTTTAAAAGACCCCATGTTGTAGCTCTCTGGAAAAGCCTCGGGCGGAAGATCATTCCACATCCTGCACGTGCGTGAAAAAAATGATCGCGACGCACGTACAGTCCTGCAACTGAATGCATCCAGATGATGTGGATGAAATCCAACCCTACGCCGAGTAGTGCGATGGTGGAATGTAGAAGACGGCACTACATCAAACAGTTCCTCGGAACATTCCCCATTGTACAGACGATAGAACACACAGAGGGAGCTTACTTCCCTTCGGAGACTTAGGGGTTCTAGATCGTCTGTGAGCATGGGATCGTTGACAATACGAACTGCCCGACGTTGTATGGAGTCAAGTGGAAGAAGTTGGTACTGTGGGGCACCGGACCAGAGGTGAGAACAATACTCCACGTGGGGACGAACCTGTGCTTTATATAACAAAAGCAAGTGTCCCGGTGTGAAGTACTGCCTCGCTCTACTCAGTACCCCTAGTTTTTTTGATGCTAGTTTAGCCTTGTCCTCCAAATGACTCCGGAATTGAACGTCGTTCGCTATGTCAACCCCAAGGATCCCAATACTCTGTTTGATCTTAAGGGGAATGTCCTGGAACTTTGGAGCTACAGTAAATGGGGTCTTTTTAGTGGTAAACGCGCAAACTTGTGTCTTCTTGGGATTAAACTGAACAAGGTTCAGCTTACCCCATTCGGAAACCTGCTCCAGGGAGGTCTCAATTTCAGACACAAGTCTCTTTCTGCTCTCTTCTACTTGGTCACGAGGAATATTAGCTCGGCCCATGTAATAAGCGTCACCAGTACTGTCATCTGCATAGCACCGAATGTTGCTGGTATGCAGCATGTCGTTGATATGCAGAATGAACAGTGTTGGTGATAGTACTGAGCCTTGGGGCACACCAGCGTTGATGGGCTTGGGTTCCGAGCAAGAACCGTCAACAACGACCTGTATGCTCCGCCCATGAAGGAAGCTGGCTACCCAGTTGCATAATTCCTCGGGTAGTCCGTACGATGGTAGCTTCGATAGAAGTGCGCGATGCCAGACCCGATCAAAAGCCTTTGCGATGTCTAGGCTGACCGCCATGGCCTCCCCTTTGCTCTCAATGGCTTCAGCCCATCGATACGTGAGGTATACTAGAAGATCACCAGCGCTTCGTCCGTGGCGAAAGCCATATTGACGGTCGCTAATAAGCTGGTTATCCTCTAGATAACCTAAAAGTTGCGTATTGATGATCCGCTCCATCACCTTTGAGAGTAGTGAAGTGATCGCAATAGGCCTATAATTGGATGGGTCTGAGCTGTCACCCTTCTTGGGAATAGGGTGAACATTGGCCACTTTCCACGAAGACGGAACTTTACCAGTAGTATAAGAGAGTGAGAATAGGCGCGTTAAGACCGAAGTCAATTCAGGAGCACACATCTTAAGCACAATGGCTGGGATACCGTCTGGGCCGCTGGATTTCTTGACGTCGAGGGATGACAGGGCGGCACGCACAGCGCTCTGCGTAAAACGCACATTGCGCATATTTTCCCTGCACCGCGGGATGGTAGGCGGTGCTTTTCCCCCATCGTCAAGAGTTGAATTCGACGCAAAAAGAGTGCACAGGAGATCAGCCTTCTCTTTTGCGGAATTAGCCAGCGTTCCATCAGGATTGTGCAAGGATGGTAGGGAAGACTTACAGAAATTGCCTTGTACCGCTTTGGCGAGAGACCAAAAAGAACGAGTACCTGAGGGAACGTCAAGTAGTCTCTCTCCAATTCTGCGAACGTGCTCCTTCTTTGCTCTGGAAATCTCCTTTTTGCAAGACCTGGAGGCAGCATTATAACCCTTTTTCAATTCGGACGTTTTTGGATCCTTCGCAGCTGATGCCGCAGCCCATGATCGATATCTCAACTGTTTCGAGCGTAACGCTTCTGTACAGGATTTATCAAACCAGGGCTGAGACTTACCCCCCGTGCGAATAACAGAGCTGGGAATGAAGTCCACTATAAACGTGGAAGGGGTCGCCGCTGTAGTGACCTTAATTACCTTATTTTGGACAGCCATATATATATTTTTTGTTCAGGAAGTGGGAGTGAAGGAAGGATGTTGATGGCCCATCAACTATCCTGTCAAAGAACATTGCCATTGATCTGAATTGAGAGCAGAGTTTTGTGTATTACTGGCATGGGGCACGGAAGGGCCCCCGATCCGACCCGCGGTTGCAAACTGGGTTCCACCCCGGTCTCCCACTCCGGCACAGTCAGCAACCGACGGGCTTTTGGCATTGGCGGTGGGACAGCCTCCTAGATCGGGATAGTCTAGGTTCGGGTCCCCTACGGACCAACGGGCGGCCAGCGGAAAACCGTTTCATCGGGTCTCCCTGGACCCCATGCCAATGAAACACGCTCAACATCTCAAAACAGACTTCGACAAATGTAGGACAGAAAGTCAACAGACACATCAACATCCTGGGAGAGGGAAGGGTGGGGAAAGGAAAGGGCAACCGGCTCTCCCACTCATCAGACGAAACGCAGCCATTGAAGGCTACTTCACGCCGATCTTCTGTGGGAGGGTGGTACTTCCCCGGTCGAGCCAGCCCATGTTCGAACTGTAGTGACCTACCACAGTTAGGCTCTACCACCTAAAGAATATTAGAATATAAATAACGTGAAGCTTAGAATTGTGAAATAGATCACAATTTAAATCATCATAAATAATTATTATTAACAATTAATATATACGTAAATATTGCAAATCAACAAGATCAATCACTGCTATACTATAGCCATAAAAATGAAGTATTATATTATATCTTAGTCCTTTAATACACATGTGAAACTCATTATTATATAGTAAATAAACGGTGTTAGTATCATACCTTCCTTTTTTGAAGTCGGTTAAAAATGGAGACAATGTATGTACATGTTGTATGAAAGACCCAGACTATTTAATATGGTATACGAAATATAATTCACTAGCTCATAATGTATTTCTGTAATATAAACAGTGCTAATAGTTATAATAACACACATCATCACTGAATTATACAGTTATTGATAACATTCAGTATTAATTTAATATGAATCATAACTCCATATATTAATTAGTATTATTATAGGTTTTATAATATTATTTTAGTATTATTTCTTTAAAATGTATATAATCAACATCTAAAACATGATTAACGAGGTTTCTAGAACTAATTATAAAGGCAACTGCGCCTGAAACAGCCGATACATCGGATGTATAATAAATGTATAATGAATACGTGATTACATTCTGAAATATTGAACCAATATTCGGATCACTGGAGCTTTAACTGCGGTTAAATCACTCATTACACTAATATTGAACGGACTCTGATGTACGTGTATTTTATATTCGCTTATTAAAAATAATGTTATTAACATATATTCTGTTTAAATATGCGGAAATTTTAAGAAATATTAACTTTTATACTTCAATATTTGAAATTTTAAATAAGAGGTCGTATAAAATGAAACACTTAATAAATTGAGCTTAGTTGTCAATACTACATATAATCTGATAAATTATGTATGTATTAGATCTTTGGAAAAAAAATCCAAACGTTGTAAAAATTAAACTTATTAATTATAGTTTTTATTCTGAACGATTAAATTTACAGCTGTTTTAATATACTTATTTTTCTTTAAAACTAAGTCAGAGATATCATTGAGGTATTGTTTGTATTTTACTTTGGAACATCAGTTCTTTTCAGAGATTAAGGCTGAATAACATTTTCAATTTACAGTTTATAATTATTTCCTTTAAATTAATATTTGATTGCAAAATTTTGAAAACAGAAGCTCCTGTATTATAAAATAGTGGATAAATATTGTATGGCAAAATATTATGTTAATATATTAATATTTTTAAGCATCTTAATCTGTGAGACGTATGGACGTTGTAACTATTCCATTACTGTTGAAGTAAATTTTCTTGTTAAATAACAGTGAAGCCAGATAATATAATTTGCAACGAGAAATGTGTTCAAGTTGCAAGTAAAGAGAGTTGTATCACATAGAGTGTATGAAAGGATCCATCCTTTGATATTAAGTATATAGAATTTTATAGAAGAAGTTTTGTAAAGGTCTTAATATCTCTACCGTCTTACAATAAAGCCAATACTTTTAAAATACAATCATTGAGAAAAACAATTAAAAATCGCCGATATAAGCGACGTAATCTTAAAGATGAAAACAAAATAAAAGTGTAAGTTTTGTTTTAAATAAAAAATAATAATAATGTTTTTAACATACTTGGGCCAAACCCCGACTTCTGTCAAGGATGCCTTTTCAGAAATCACTCTGGCTGTAGTTGGAGTGCATTTCTGCGTTGCAATACCTCTCAGACGAAGGAAAAGGTATAAAAAATGTTCAGAAATCTTTTTCAACCTCAGTGTAGGAAAATTAACCTTTAGAGTTGGTCTATCGGTTAACAGTAATGGATTTATACTTAACTTTTACTGAAAAAGAGTTTCGAAGTTTTAAAAAGTGTATGAAAGAGATGTGTCCATTTAATACTGTAATTAAAAATGTCTTGACTAACTTTTCGACTGTTAGTTATCAACGTATGTGATACAACTCTACGTTGATGATAATGACCTACTGAAGTATGTGAGGCCTTTCTGAGAACGATGAAGGGAAACATATGTCCATATAAATTAATCTATGATCGATCTCCGCGACGGTTACAAGATTTATTTTTTCGGACCATTATCTTAATGACTTACAATATGTGAGTATATAAATTATGATTATATAATAGATATTATGTTAAGTAGCAAATATTGTGTTTATTAATATATTATATAATAAAAATTATGTTAAGTAGCAAATAAGTGTTATTTATAATATACATCTTTTTCTTAAATGAAAAAGTTGACCTGGTAAAGGTCGCGGGAATCCGCTGGATGCGGGTGGCAAAAGAAGGGTCCTCGTGGAGATCCTTGGAAGGCCTATGTCCTGCAGTGGACGTCTTTCGACTGAAATGATGATGATGAAGTTTAATAATACAGGGTTTTTTTAAGTGCACATATATTTTTCTTTAGATTTAAATAGGAATATTATAAACTATTTCACTCATTATGTGAATTAAGACAGATTTTACAGATAATGCTGAAACAAATGAGACCTCAGATATCTTGTGTTTGTCTTGTCTATCAAGACCTTTTTTTTTGTGCGCACTGGGAAAAAATGCTTTACGCATCCCCTCTCCATCGGGGACGGAGAGGGGTATGTGGGACTCCCCGGGAAAGGATTCCCGGTATACCCACTAAAATAACCCAGTGGCGCTCCGACCTCGCCTGACTGGCAGGGGGCTGGGAATCCTGTTTGCATCCATCTATCAAGACCTACACCAGCTTAAATATATATAAATGGCATTAGTTTGTGGACTATATACAGTTACAAATAGGTTGTAGAATAGTACTAAAGTATAGAATTACATGTATACAAAAGTTTAGAACGTATTCTAGACTGCTGTTAACTTGAATATTTCTTATTCTTACTACAATATATATAAAATAAAGTAATGTTCAAAAGTGTTTCATGTTTATGCAATTCCATTCCTTGAATGTGGTTAATATTAAAGAAAGTTTTAAAATAAAGTGACGTATATTTTACCTTCATAACATTCTGTTGTCAATTCATTATATTATTATAAATTGGATAAGGACATGCATCTTATTAAAAGTTTCTTTATATAACAAGAGTATCGTGACATAATAAAAAATCTTACTATACATAGGCTAGTTTTAAATAAGTATGTCTTAAACCAAGTTGTGAGTCAACGGTTTCGTTTAAAGTACATAGAACATGCAAAATATATTGTTAATAATTTGTTTGTGGTTAAGTCATTAATTTAAAACTATATTTTAATTAAATCATGTGAAACTACATGATGACTAGAAGTAAAAATAAGCTGTTGGTTTATAACAGAGTTTCAATTCTCGTATACAGTAAAGAAATACATTAAATTATATTCTGAAAAGATATTTGTATACGGATTCACTGATTCTAAATTTATAAAAACCATTTATTTCTTTTGACAGTAATATTATTTATTCTAACTTAAATCCTCACTATATGTAAAGAATGTTTATATGTATATGTTTAATAAAGTTATTCCTAGTAATGATCACATTTAATATAAATGAAAACGTTCATACTATAAATCACACACATTTATTTCAACGGAAAGCCGCAATTTATTCGTTTTCACGAATTTTTAATGGACGATATCTTCTCAATTATTCGTTTCAATGGAATAAACTTCAATGACATTTATATTTATTGAATATTAAAGATAACTAATGGATTTCATGAAATTAAGTTTTATATAAACTTGTAGATAACTCACAGTGACATAGTTAATGATATTTTTTGGAACTTTCTTTGACAAGCATTCGTAATGTATTAATAATTATTAAATTATAATTTATTAAATTAAAATATACGCAATAAAGGAAGTTACAGCAGTTTTTTATTTTAATTACTATCAGTTCTTTGTTTTATATTTGTACGCAAAATTTATTGTGTATTTTATTTTTATCAAAGGATTTATATAAGCTCGAATCGATAAAGAACTAGGAGTAATGTTGCAACAACGTTAGAACTCTTATTTAATAGTCTAATTTAAAACACGAAGGTTTTAGTGTCCCTCTGGACTTTAGAAAAAATCATGTAATTTAAATACTATAATAAAAACAATTTAACTAACTAACTAACGGTTAGTGCATTCCTACCGCTCCAAATATCTTAATACATTGTTGTAGCGTATGCTCAGAGATATAAAGTTTATTTGAGATGAAAAATACATCAGTCACTGGTACAGATACTTAGTTAAAAATCTGATTTGCAAAAAAGTCTTACAGAAAATTGCAGATGAAGTTCCAATAACTCACTCAATAAGCTTTGTAATATGTTACAACAAAGACCATACGGGATATTTTTGAACAATAAACTGATGAAAACACAAAAAACACAAGTTTTACACACACTACACATACATCAAATACCTACGATTGAATGAGAATTAATTATAAACCTTATTGGTCTAATATTTTAATTCAATACCTATAGTACCCATTTCACAAAACATAATTTTGTTTTACAGAATTTTAGTAGAATTTACCTTTAATTAACTAGCTTATGTATTCAACTTCGCTTGAATTAAACATCACCAACAGAGACTTAAAATTGACAACCTTCACCTTGTCGAAGGTTCATATTGATATTCATTTTTTCAGCCCGTTTTGCAGGATTATCATGTAGGAACACAGCATAAGGCTGGATAAATGAAAATAATGGTCAAAGTCCGTTTTCAGTTGCCATAACATCATTTTAGAGGACTATTATTGTGATAAACAATGTGTTAAACAGTCCACTAGTTCAGTTAACAATCTACTTAAGCCATTAATCGAAACGAAAGATCTGTCGAAAATTGCGATGGTCTTACGTGAAAGTGATCTACCATGCCTCGGCGATCGTGCGATTTGACTTACATCCACATTTTCTGGTGTTTTTTTTTTATTAACAGTTGTGAGTAAGTAAAACATAAACCGCAACTGAACGTCAAACCAAAATAACTCAACCCATCTGTCAAATTCAGCCTGACTTATGCGCCGGAGTCATAAAACATTGGACAATTTTGCATATTCTCTACAAAGAAAATCCGAAGTGGATGTTTAAATGATGTTAAATTTAAATATGATTTCGAAAGATCTTTTAAAAGAACAAAATATATCTATGATATATCAAAAAGTTTGTTTTATTAAATTTATAGACAGGGAGGACGTGGTGAAGGCCAAATACCCGAAAATTTAATTTGTGTAGGAAAATAGATTTTTCTGAAACTAAGTGTTTATGCATCGTATGTCAGTGGTGGCCTAGTGGTTAAAAATCCCGCCTATCAGGCACGAGGGTGCGGGTTCGATCCTGGCCCTGGCAAGTACCAAAGTGATTTTTCCGAGTCATATGTACTTTCTAAGAATATTTGGACATCACTAATTAATACATTCCCAAAAAGAGGGTTGATGTCTGGCAGGCGGCCGGTCGTAAAAACAATTAGCCAAAACTATTCACAACATGTAAGGCAGACCCTGGCTAAAGCTCGGAAATTGCCAGGTAGAAGAAGAAGAAGACACCGTATATATTGAAAATAGTTTTAATTTTTTAGTCTGTTTGGTAGTAGAGATCTACTATGAATATACTAAACTTATATCATTTATTCGGCCAAATAAACAAAATGTTTACCTAATTAGAAAACTCTCATTACGATTTTTACACTGAATAATTGAAATTTCGATTATCGTCATTATTCACATCTTATCTTTCAAATTAGTTCATCTTTTAAGATGAGTAAATTCCTTGCGCACTGTAGAATATTTATATAAATAATCCAATTACATTATATATTAAACGTGAAATATAAAGTTTAAGTTCGGTGCGATGTTGAAATAGTCGAATACAACACTACAATGTATTAGAGATAAACGACCCTTAGGGACCCACACCACAGCGGTTGCTGTTTTAACGGATATTAGAAATTTAAATTTTAATACCTCAGTCTTACCCGCATAGTAAAATGAATTTTTAATATAATATATTCCTCCTAATAGATAGATATTTTTATGTATGATTTAATATGGATTCAATTTGGTGAACTTTATAAGAATTATAATAATCATTTGAATATTTATATTTTAAATTGTATATAGGGGATATATTCCAACGAATGAATTTCTTTCTTTTATCAGAGTTGAGCGAAATATAAATAGATATATCAGTCGACTGACTCTATTAAAATGTTATATAGAACTTCAGACTCTCAAATACTATAAGACTGAACAATAAGTAATAATATGATTAAAGTTATCGTAATTTACGATTATTTTATCATCACAGTTAAACGCTGCTATACTCTTCACCAAACTGTTCAAGCAAGCATCTGATCATTAACAGTTTAATAAAAACATCTGTTAACAAAACGACACCATAATAGCATACGTTATCATTAAACAAATAATTAATTATGACGTCACCTATCTGCAAGTGAAATTCGTATCATAATTAGCAAATATACCTATTCTATAGATGAGCCGGAACAATCAGACAGGCAGATAGATCAACGTAAAGAAAATCTTTTTGATATCGTAATATAACTTCGTATGTATAACATCACATAGGTACGTTTAGTGAGAAGCAGTTAATTTAAAATTACAAAGTAACACGTGCATATTAGTATAAATATAAAAAAAGATTCTTTTATGTTCAAAGCTGAGGTTTTTTTTTATATATCTACTCACTTGATAAGTTAACTTCCCATTATTTTAACCAGTATATTATGATAAAGAATAACTAAAACTTCATATCCTACGCATTACACAAAGAGATGGTT